ACTGAACAGTTTCAGAAATGGATTCGATGTATAGGTTAAGGAAAGGAGATTTTGTTTTTGTTTTTTTTGGTATTCCCTGGATTTATTCTTTTTAAAAAAGTTGTACATTAATTTCTATTGATGGTAGAATTGGGCAATTGAAGGTCACTGTTCTGAATTTTGTACTTGCTGTGTACTTGCTAACATTTCAGAAATGTTAAAATGTGAGATACGTGCATTTTATATGTCATGTAAGGGTTAATGTGCTTTGATATTTTCTGTTTTGTTCTGTTCTCTTATTTAAAAAGATTAGTCTCAATCTACTAAATGGGTGATAACCTGCATTTTGGAAAACACTGCAGTTTGTATTTATGATCTATAGTATACATCTTTTTATATAAAAGTGTAAATCTGCTTTGGCAGTGGTCTTTTAAAAATTTTATTTTGGCTTAGAGTTGTCATTAAAATATAACATTAGTTGTTATTCTAAATGTAGTTACAGGCATATTAACATACTGTAGAAGACTTGATATTGTAGCATTTTTGCTTCCAATTAAAAAAGAGAGCTTCAGAAAGGAAATAATTATAATAGGTTACTTCTTTTTTTTATGTAATCTTCTTATATTATCAATATGAATTTTAAAAATAAGTTATCCCTGGGTACTCAGTATTCTTTGTAAAAGAATTGAAATAGATATTAAAAAATGTAACATACTGTCTACCAAAGAGAAGTTGGAATGTATGCTGTCTTGGGATCTTTGATATTCTTACGGAAATGCTCCGTCTTTGTTCTAGAGAGAACTGATTTTACACAGTCATTCAATTGCTTTAATATGGTAGGCCCTAGGTAAGACTTTATTGTCAGACTTCACTAAACCTTATTTTAAGGTTTTTTAAAATGCATATTACAGACATAGAAATTAGGTAGTTCCCAATTCAGTAGCCTAGGCATAACTATTATGTGAGAAAAATTTCCTTATTATATCACCTGATGAGCATATTTTATGGCTAGTTCTTACTGCTTTTTGATTCTGGATTTACTTGAATAGAGAAAAGACATTCTTAGATTGAATGCATTGAATCTAAAATAAAGATTATAATGTTATTTTATTCATGACATTTGTTAATTATCAGTATTCTAGATACGTAAAATATATTGGATCTTTTTTAAAAAAGAAGCATATTTAAAGGTTAAGACAACTCTGAGCTCAGGCTGGAGGAGATCAACTTATATAGATAATTCTATCACTTTATTATGTTATCATTTTGGGAAACCTTAGTGAATTCCTTTGCTCTCTTTAAAGGGAAAGTTTGGCAAAAATAAGATCATTGTGAAACCCTCATAAATGAATTAAAATATCTTATTAATTTAAAAGAATAATATGTTTCCAATAGGACATCTGTTTTCCCCATTGATTGATCCAAGATTTGTTTGATGTAATTGGACTTGATACCTGCTTCCATCCTCTAGAGCTCTAACGCTGAGAATACCTTCCTAGAAAAAAGACCATACTATCTTTTCTCAAAGTATATGAGTTGCTACGTTTCCCTGGTAGAATTTCCTACAGCTTTAATAAGCTTCATAATATTTTCCTTCTAATTAACTAAGTTAATTGTGATATTATTGAAACAGATATGTAACTATCAACCCAAAACAAAGAACTAATGTACTCTTAAGTTATTTATTTTGAATTTGATGAAAACATTGTTTTATAGATCTAATTCATTTGTGTACATTAATATGCCAGTTTGTATTTTTGAACATTTAAAAAAATTATGGTAGTTTGATTTATATGTTAGAAGGTATTCACTTCATTCCAAACCAGACCAAATAAAATCCTGTACCCATTCCAGGTAAAATATCTCTAAAGACTTTCATTAATAGGTACTTAGGATAAGAGGTGCTTAAATGATAAATATATTATTTGGTTTATTAGTGGTAGGGGTTAAGCATTTAAGAAAAGTTTTTTCTCCCTGATTATCAAAGTAAACTATAATAGTTACCAGTAAAATAAAAGCATAAAGGTCAAAGAAATTACCAGTGATTCTACCATCTAGAGAAAACTACTAGTAGTATATTGTCATATTTCTTTCCAGTTGCTCTCTGCATTCTTTGCTTATTTGAATCTTTAGTATATGCTGGCTGTAACACTGAATACAATCTGAAACACATGGTCTTTGAGTGTTACTACAGTCTAAAATGAAGACAGATACACGAACAGATAACTTCAGTTTGATGTGGTGGATGCTAAGTTAGAGACAATAAAAAAAAGGAGTTTAGAAAATTAATTCCTAGACATTATGAGGTTATTTGTGAATTTCCCATTAAATTTTGCATTTATCTTCAGATAGAGTGGGAAGGAGGAAGAGAGAGAGAGAGAAACATCCATCTGAGAGAGACACATTGAGTGGTTGCCACCCACATGACCCCAGCTGGGGCCGGGGACGTGCAACCGAGGTACATGCCCTTAGTGGGAACCGAACCCAGGTCTCTCTGGACTGTGGGCTAAGGCTCTAACTGCTGAGCCACACTGGCCAGGCTTGCTGAGTATTTTTTTTTCTTTTTTTTATCCTCACCCGAGGACATTTTTCCATTTTTTGTACAGATAGAGTGGGAGGGAGAGAGAGGAAGGGAGAGAGAGAGAGAAACATCAACGTGAAGGGACACATCGAGTGGCTACCACCTCACGACCAACCAGGGCCGGGGACAAACTGCAACTGAAGTACATGCCCTTAGCGGGAACCGAACCCGGGTCTCTCCGGACCGCAGGCCGATACTCTAACCGCTGAGCTAAACCGGCCAGGGCTTGCTGAGTATTCTTAAAAAAATATTTCTCCAACTAACAGTTTGCACATGAGAAGGAAAGTAGTGGGCTGGTTGCCCTTTTGCTTATGGTTCAGACAGGACTTTGAGTTTATTTAGATGGGATGTTTCTTGAGGAACTAATTGAAGAAGACATTTTGGTATAGATCAGCAATTTTCAACCAGTGTGCCGCAAGAATTTTTAAAACACGCGATGCCTGACTGTTTAGTCAGGGCACTGACCTCTTTTCCCTTACATCGTCAAATTAAAGAAATGACAACAGCCAACACAACAATAGCCATTTGGTGGGAGTGAATAAAAATTATACCTAATTTTTTTTGTCAGATTGGCAAAAAATATAATAATGTTTTAGTGTGCTACAGAATTCTCGTAATTAGTTTATGTGTGCTATGAGATGAAAAAGGTTGAAAATTGCTGGCATAGATTATAGACAGATCAGAATTAGAGCAGGCTTGGTTTACAGAATACCTTCCCCTGATGCTTTAATGTGTGAGTGGTTAACCAGATGAACTAAGGTAAGTTTCCTCTGAGAGAGGACTAGAAGTTTTAAGTGGTTATTCTAGACCTCAAAGCTAGTAGCAGTATCTTAAGGTCAATATTTTAAAAACTTGAGTTAATTTAAATGTATATAGCTTTTAAGGCTACTTATAAACTTCATATACTTGCAAAACTCAAATATAATTTATAAACTATATATAAATAAAAACAATAATATTAATTTAGCATAATTTTTATTTAAACAATCTTTAATGTTGTGAATAATATGGTAGAAAATAGCTTTAGTTCTGGTCTTATTAATCTGTTTTTAAAATTTTAATATTGATATTAAAAGTGTGGTAAATGATGGAGTTAATTTTATGGACGTGTTTGTCATTTTGTGATCTTTATGTTTAAACTTCTAGAAACCACTCATTTTATGCCAATTATCATGTGTGTCATGTGATAATTCTGTAAAGCTATCTTATTTCACATCATGATGATTAGTGCCCAGTATGTTATTTGCCCGTTACTTACAAGTTGCAAACATAAGACACAAATGGGGGCATTGAAATGATGTCATAATAAATTTGTTTTAAGGTAGCTATATAGATACAGTAACATTAAAATTATGTGAAAATAGTTTGCTTTAAAGTAACTCATCAGATCATCTGTAATGTGCTTACTAATTTTTTAAGAGTATCATTATAATAATGAAAGCCCAAAATTCTTACACAGAACTTTTAAACTCCCACAAATAAGTCTGCAGGCTCCAATTTGAGAATTACTCTGTTAGCTCTTAGTTAAGATACTTTTATAGTTTCTATATAAAATTCAACAGATTTAAAATAGCCCTTTGAAATTGCTATAAAAATTTCTAAATTCTTTTTCATTATTCTGCACCTAACTTTCCTGAAGGTAGTAATAAGTTCACAGCCTGGCAGTGACCCATGGATATTCTTTGATAGGCATTGTAATAAACAATAAAATAATTAAATGAGAGAAAAAAAGAGTAAAATGGTAAATAAATCAGAAAAAGGCAAATGAAAATGAAGTAAAATGGACACAATAAGTGAAAATAAAGTTCAAGAGAATATTGAAGAGTGAAAATTAGCTTAAAATAATGATTTAATCTAACTAAAATAGGAATTTTCAGCAAAGAGCCAGTAAGGTGCTGTGGTGTTAAACATTTATTAAAAGATAACTAAAGAAATAAAATCATTTAAAATAATGTAAAATTTTAAGTGATTAGGATATTGTAGGAGAAAAAAAAGATTTTTCTGATCTTCCATGAACATAATCTACTTACATTGTCCTACAGTATGATTCAGTTAGACTTTATCTGAACCCCAGTTCTCAGCTAATGCCTGTGTATGGAATCACAGATGACTACCTGTTAAATGTTGACATTTTCAGATAGATAGATGATACATTTAACATTTTAAATAAGAGAGCAGTATGTGTTTGAAAGTTCAAATATCTATATGCAGATGCCGGAGTCCTTCAGCCAGAGGAAGCTGCTAAATCAGCATTGAATTCTTACGTGTGTGATATGTTAAGTTTATTTGTTGAATCTTAGATATCACTGATCTATTTTAATTATTTTGGGCAGAATATAACCTGATGTACATTTTTTTTTTAACAAGGTTAAAAAAAGATATCTTCTGTCTACTCATCAAAGTTATAAATGTGTTAATTTTTGCACATTTTTCTTTGTAGGCTCAGATTATTCTTCATCCGCATGGTTACCTGGTAGTGAATCATTGTGGCAGGCAGCTGTTCCATCCAACCATCGAAATAACCACATCAGGAGACATAGCATAGCTTCTGACAGTGGTGACACTGGCATTGGAACTTCCTGTTCTGACAGCGTGGAAGGTGAGCCAAAATTCTTAGTGTTTAGATATGATTATTCAGAGAATGGTTGAATTGAGACCATTTAAGGGATAGGTTTCATACCAAGGAATTTAAAAGCAGTGGTTGAATATTCAATGATGTTCAGTGTTGTTATTTTGAATAAATTGTAGATTCACATACAATTTTAAGAAATAATACAGAGATTCTGTGCATCTTCCTCCCCCCATGGCTATATCTTACAAAACTACAATACAGCATCACAACCAGGATATTGACATTGTTACAGTCAAAATACAAAACATTTCTATCACCAGAGAATACCTAATATTGCTCACACCCACTTTCCATTCGTCCTTAACTCCTGGAAACCACAAATCTCCATTTCTGTAGTATTGCCATTCAAGAATGCGGGATAAACGCAGTCATACAGTACATAGCTGTATGTACTTTGGAATTGGTTTTCTTCCACTGGAGATTCATCTAGGTTGTTGTGTGTATATCAGTGGTTCATTTCTTTTACAGTTGTGTAGTATATATACAGCATTGGTGGTATTGAATAGATCACATGTTGCTTAACCTTTCACTCGTTGAATGACATCGATTGTTTCTAGTTTTTTTGCTATTAGGGATAAAGCTGCTACAAGCATTTATGTATTGGTTTTCGTGTGATTTTTTGTCTTTATTTCTCTGTGGTAAATGTCAATGCTATATGCTGGTCATATGGCAGTTGCATGTTTACTTTTTAAAGAAACTGTCACACTATTTTCCAGAGTGACTTTTCCATTTACACCAGTAATGGAAATGGATTAGTATGAGTAACACAATTTTATCGTTATCTCTGCTAGCATTTGGTGGTTTTCAAATTTTAGCCCATCTGATAGGAATGCAGTGACATCTTAATTGTGGTTTTAATTTTCAGTTCTTTAAAGATTAATAGTGTGAAACATTTTTTCACGTTGTTTTTTGCCATCTGTGTGTTTTCTTTGGTGAAATGACTCTTCATGTCTTGCTCATGTTCTAATTGTTTTATTTTCTATTTTTACTGTTGAGTTTTGAGAGTTTTTTATATATTTTAGATACTAATCCTTTGTTGGTTTATAGTTTGCAAATATTTTCTTCCACTCTATGATTTATCTTTTTAGCCTCTAACTGTCTTTTGCAGAGCAAAAGTTTTAAATTTGATGGTCAAGTGTGTGTGTTTAGGTGTTCCCAAGACCACTGATTTAGGCTCACTGATTTGCTAGAAGGAATGACAGAATTCAGAAAAGCTGTTACACTAATGGTTATGGTTTGTTACAGCAAAAGGATACAGGTTTCAATCAGCAATAAAAATAGAAGCAAAGTTTTCAGCCAGGAGACACCAGGCCTAAACATTCAGTTTGGCCTCTCCCAGTGGAGTTGTGTGGACAATGTTTTATTCTCCCAGCAATGATATGTGACAGCACATAATGAGTATTGCTAACTAGGCAAGGTCACCCAAACCTTAGTGTCCAGGATTTTTATTGTGGGCTGGTTAATGTTGGCATGGTTGACTACCTATGTGGATGATCTTAATCTCCAACCTTGGAGAGGTCCAGGTGATATCACATTGTTCAAGTCTCCCACCATAAACACATTATTAGCACAGGCTATATGAGTGAGCCAAGGTAAACAAAGACAGTGTTATTAGATAGCATATTCCAAGGGTTTAGAGGTTACCTATTAGGAACTGAACAAAGGTCAGATCTTTCTTGGAACTGCAAGATGTAGAAAACCTAGACATGCTGAGTTAAAAACTCAAGAGGAGATGGCCTGTTAATTATATTTTCTCATATTTTTATTTACTGTCTTCTTTCTTCCCTTGTGATGTTTCAAGTTTCCTTTAGTTATTTCCTTTTGCTTTAGAGAACTTCCTTAGCCATTTTTTTAAGGATACAACTGTTGGTTACAGATTATCATAGTTTTCTCAACTGAGAACGTCTTGATTCCCCTTCATTCCTAAATCTTTGGGTATACAATTTTAGTTTGACAGTTCTTTTCTTTCAGGACTTGAAAACAGATTGTGCTACTTCTTTTTGGCTTCCATGGTTTCTGATGACAGATCTGCTGTCATTTTTCTCTGGCTACTTTAAAGATATTGTCTTTGTTTTCAGAAACTATATGTCACATGTCTTTGGGTGGATTTCATTAGATTAATCCTGTTTGGGATTTGTATAGCTTTTTGAGTATATAAGTTTATGTCTCTTGCCAAATTTGGGAAGTTTTCAGCCATTATTTTCTTTGAGTTCTTCCTCAGTCTCTCCCATTTTTTTTTCAGGACTCTAATGGCACAAATCTATAATTTTTTTTTTTAACCCTTACCCGAGGACATTTTTCCATTTTTTGTTCAGATAGAGTGGGAGGGAGAGAGAGAAAGAGAGAGAGAAACATCAACGTGAAAGGGACACATCGAGTGGTTGCCACCCACATGACCCAACCAGGGCCAGGGACAAATTGCAACCGAGGTATGTGCCCTTAGCGGGAACTGAACCCCAGTCTCTCTGGACCGCAGCCAACGCTCTAACCACTGAGCCAAACCGACCAGGGCAAATCTATAATTCTTTTGCTGTTGTCCTACGGGTCTCTGATACTCTGTTTCTTTTATTTTCTATTTTTTATTGTTCACATTGGATAATTTTTATTGTTCTAGTTCACTGATATTTTTCTTTGATTCATTCCATTCTTTTTTTTTTTTTTTTTAATCCTTACCCGAGGACATTTTTCCATTTTTTTGTACAGATAGAGTGGGAGGGAGAGAGAGAGAGAGAGAGAAACATCGACGTGAAAGAGACACATCGAGTGGCTGCCACCCGCACAACCAACCAGGGCAGGGGACAAACTGCAACCGAGGTACATGCCCTTAGCGGGAACCGAACCTGGGTCTCTCCAGACCGCAGGCCCATGCTCTAACTGCTGAGCAAAACCGGCCAGGGCCATTCCATTCTTTTGCTGAGCCTATCCACTGAGCTTTTTATTTCTATTATTGTATTTTTCAGTTCTATTATTTTTATTTTGGTTCTTTATATCTTCTATATTTTTGCTGAGACTTTTAATTTTTTTTTTTTTTGCTGATGCTTTCTTTCTCTTTTGTCATTTGTTTTAGACATGTTTGTAGTTGTTCACTGCAGTACTTTTATGTAGATTTCTTTAAAATTTTTGTTAGAGAATTCTAACAGTGTTGTTATCGTGGTATTTGGCCTCTATTGATTTTCTTTTTCACTCAGAGAACTTACTGGTTCTTTTTTTAATAAATGATTTTCAAATTGGAACTTCGAAAATTTTGTACTGTTATGAAATTCTGAATTTAATTTATTTACTATATAATAAATATGTTTATTTACATTTATACCTTTTTACATATTTTATAAATATATTTATTTACATATAAGTAAATATAACAAAATTATTGTAAATGTTTATTTATGTATATATTTTAACCTTTTCTGTTAGCTGGTTTTGTTAGCTAGTGTTTTGGCATATGAAGGGTGGAGAGACACTGTTTCCTTACTGCCAGGTGGAGCCAGAAGTTCAGGTTCTCCACTTGGCCTCAGTTGATGCCCAAGGAGTTAGGAGGGAAGCACCTTGTTGCTGGCTGTGGCTGGGACTTGAGGTTTTTCATGGGATCACCACTGACACCACCATGTGTGGGTAGCCTCACTATTGCTGGAATATGGTGCATTTCCAGACCATTAGTCCTCCTCTGACATAACCTGAGTGCATGTGCATGGTGGGGGGCAGGGAGACTTCATACTGCCAAATAGAGATGAAAATCTGTTTCTCTACTTGGTCTTCTTTGATACTGCCCTGGTTTGGCTCTTGGGATATTTTGTTACAGACTGGTAAGGTTGGCAGTCTAGATTCCCTACTTGGCTTTTGTTGGCATGGGTGGAGGTAGGGCTGCAGCTGTTTCTTTGGTGTTGGCTGAAAAAGAGTGGTTACTGTCTGAAAATTTTCTGTCTTGTTAGGTTTCCTTTTTCCTGCTATTGGCTCGGGAGAACAGGCTTTTTGGGGACTTTTGGGGTTGTACCTTTTAGTTCCTTTGTATTGCGAATTTTTTTCAGTATCAGTTCTGGGAGATATGAGGCAAAAAGAACACCCAGGGAAGTTACCACTCTCTTGTTCCTTGGGTCCTGAGGTTCCCAACTAATTTGCTGTCTTCTTCCCAACTTTCAAAGTCTCATTTGTTTTATATTATAATGTCCAGGACTTTAACTCGTTCTTTGTGGGAAGTATAGGGAAGGGTATCTTTTCCATCTTCTCACCATAATTTTTTTTATGACTGTTAACAAAATCTTGTTTAACTACTACTATATGTCATAATTTTGCTGGCAACTACATAAAATATTAATTTTATTATGGTCTTATACCTAATAACAGTCAGTTATCTAAAACATACAACTCAAGGAAAGGAAGGGAATATATGCAAGGTGATGAAGGGGCAAATAAATAGGAATTGAATTGCAAAATAATCTTATTTATAATACAAATATTCTTTTGTTAAATTGAAAGATGAAAATAATTTAAATATGTAGTGTGCTTGTATTTCTTTAATTTTCTTTTTTACCTTCCCTTAAATTTAAAGTTTTATGTCCTATTTTCACAGCTTTATTTAGTTTGTGAATGAATACTCTTTTTTATTGTAAATTTGTTTAAGTATTATTATTCATATTTGGACCCTTCGAATAAAGTTGGCATGGTATATTGATAGTTCTGTAGTGGAGTTTTCTACTTGATTTATCTGAAATAGCATTTTAGAATTGGATTCTATGTTTATTACTATTAAAGTTGATTTCAAAGTCCTTTAAGAAAAAGCTGGTACACTAAACAAAGAAGCTGATTACAGGAAGGAGATAAAAACCAAACTAAACAAATTTAATTTTCTCTAAATGTAAAAATTTATTGTCTTTAAAAAATTGATTTTAAGCACATTACTTTCATTGGGAAGTTGGTGATATTACTAAAAGTATTAAAGAAAATGTCCCACTATGGATATTCTTTTTCAA